TCAAATTGTTGCACAATTCACTGAAGTGTTAAAATGATCAGTCAGCAATAATCTGTAGGTAATTCTTGGTGTCTTCGAGATGACAACAAATGTTTGTTTTTCTTTCCTGTGCTAGTTGTGTATTTAGCTCCAAACCAGGAAGAAAATTTAGAGAAATATATTCTTATTGATTATACAAGGAACAGTACTCCTGAATTCTCTGGAGTGGCTTTCAGAAAATGTCACCCAAAGAGAGACTCAATAGTTTATGTGGTTTGGGGGTGCCAGATCAAGGAAAACAAGGGCATTTTATTGTGAATATTTTCCTATGTTTTGAAACATGTACACCAGAAAAGCAAGCGTTTGCATTTCTCTTGGGGGAAGTAGGCTTCCCATGCTATTTTCAAGGCACAGCATGTCTTTTTTGAGTGCACCATTTGGAGCATGAAAGATGGCAGGTTAAGGAAATACTACGTCTCATTGTTTGAAGTTTTGGCTCAACTTTCTGCTGAGCAAGGAAGTTTCTTTCCTTATATGTGAAGTACAAACAGTGCTTAAGCTTTTGCAAACTGTAAAAGCAAGTGAGTAAAATCAGGAAGGCAGGAAACTGGAGACACTCAGTCCTGGATCTCTAATTAAGTCCATCAGGTTCCCCCATGGCTGTAGCCAGCTACAGGATATTCAGAGTGTGTTTATATGGTGCAATCCAAGAGGCAGTCATGCTACCTCCAAACTGAGTTAGCTTTAATAGCAGAGTAATAAAGCTGCGTTATTATTGAATTCTGTCTCAGTTAATTATCTTGCTCATAAGATACCATGAGTTCTGTCCTGGCTTGGGCGGGCTCTTTCTGGTCTCTAAATTAGCTCAGGGGTCTTCTCACACCATAGGGAGTTTTAGAAGGCAGGCATTTATTTTCATTTTCCCGTAGTCACATATTACTGTATTCACTGTGGATAGCCCAGACTTTCATAAATCATTGTTGATTGACATACAAAACACTATCATCAGAAACACTGTCCTTGCTCTGCTTGAGATAGGCATGAAAGCATGGGTTCCTTCTGTTTGGGGGTAGCAAGGTCTTGTTTTAAGAAAAAATTTCTTAGAAAATTGCCATTTAGAAGGAATTTTGAAGAGTGGATGGTGTGTAGCTGCCTACAACCCTTTCAAAGTGATCACTGATGTTCTTTCAGCTGATAGAGGACCTGAAAAAGGGAGAAATAGGACTGGCACTAAAGTGCTACAGGATCCTGCTGATATTCAAGGACACTTTTGCACAAACACGTTTCTTTTCTAACAAGTACATTTTAACTCTTAAATAGCCAAAACATCACCACCATTTTTGGGTCTGAGAAAATAGATCTCAAAAATTGCTGAATATTTTCACAGACTCAGCCTGATAACCTGTAACTGCTGCTCCCTCTGTTTCTCTTTTTGATTTGATGACAGTTTAACTGGATCCTTTCAGCTTTCAACTGCCCTCTCTCTAGACCCAAGCATACTTTGAGCTGGTGTTGCACCAGTGACAATTCTTTGGCCTAGAGTACACAATTTTAAGAAAAAGCTTTGCAGTTAGGACAATTTATTTATGCTTTTGCTCACTGTCAAAACAAAAAAACCCCACACTATTGAAAGATGAGAAAATATTTGGGACCAGATTAGCCACTTGTTTGTCAGTGTTTTTTGATCAGTTTAATTCTATTAATTACAACATTTTAAAGGAATTTTAAATTCTAGTTCTACTGGTAAAGACACAAAGCTACTTTAGTGCTCCTGGCTGGCACAAGGAAAAATAAGCATCTTGGATATAGAAACAATTGCAATTATTCCTGCACAAAGCTTTTGCTACCTTTTACCCTAGAAAGGTAAGGTGTTTACACACTGTAGTCTTAGACTACTGATAGCTGCTGCTTTTTGTAAAGGAAAGATGAAGTCAGTTCCTCAAAAATACCCCATAAAGACTCTTCCATGCAATCCTATTGCCTTACTTGGAGCTGCATATTGTTTTTCTTCCAATGTTGTGTTAAGTTTTTTTTCTCTTTTGTAGAAGTGACTGTCACAAAATTGGCTGTTAGGTGATTAAGCAATGCCTCCAAGTGATGCAAGCATGCTGCAACAAACATGTCTCTTCTTGCCATAGAGCCAATGCCCAGCAGGCTGGGCGTGAGCCCAATCTGCTTTCATACAGTCACGGCATTTGTAACACTCCTTCAGGAAAAACACCTGGGTGAGCCTGGCAGAGGAGGGAGATGCTGGCATGGGCAAGGTGCCACCACACATGGCTGCAGCCACCTGAGCCCCCAGCCCAGGCGATGCTCCCACTCTGGGGGTTGGTACTCTTCCACCAGCTCTTGGGAAGCAAGGCTGAGCTTTGGCAGACTGGCAGTGGGTGAGACGGAATGCCTAGGACTCGTGGTGCCTCAGAACTTGCTGGGCAGGCAGCGGTACTCTGAGTCTGCTCTGGGAAAGGACACTCCTTTGCCTGGGAGTTTTGTGCCTAACCAGAACCAGTTGTGCACCTAAGAAAAACCATCACCTCTACACGTCCTTGTCATTTCACCCTTCTGACAGAAGTTGAAGCTCCTGTATCCAAGGTCACAACTGCTGAGAGACTTCTCTTATGGCCAGGTGCCACTTTTTTGCCTTTTAGAGGGGTAACAGAGAGGCTGGGAGCAGAAGCATCTTCAACAGGGTATATTGAGCAGTATAATAAATTCCTCTTCCTGACTGTTTCTTCTAATACTATGCCTGAAGCATTGTCCTCCCACCTGTGCCTTCACATTCAAGCCCACTGTAAACTCCCAGAGAGAAGAGTTTGGGCTAAGATAATGGGCTAGGAAATGAGATGCAAGAACATACTAGCTGTCCCTTTCAGTCTTCTCGGGTAACTGCCTGTTTACAGGAAAAAAAATACAGCTGAAAAGCCTTAGAAACAGACAGTTTTTTGGCATAAGAAAGAAAATTGACATGACATAACATTGAAAATACAGTGCAATAGCTAGAATAGAGCAGGGATCATAAATCAGGAAGGATGATGAAAACAAAGAAAAATGGAAATTTGTTTTGATGGACTGAATCCGAGAAATCCGGTAAAGAAACTGCTCAGAAGCCTTTGGGTCTTTAGAGCAGCAAAGGTATTTATTTGTCGACATTGGGAACAAGTGTGGTTCGCACCACAAAGCTCTTGCTCCAAGGTATCGGTGCAAAGCAGGGTAATTTATACGGTCTAACTTCTACGATTACAACATCTTAACATACATATTCATATGATTGCAACATCTAATCATATATATTGATAATAGGCAAAGTTTGGGCGAAGTCCAGGCAGAGCCCTTTCTTGGCCCCCATAATTGGTGGTACATCTGGTCCTTCATCCTGTAGGGCTTGGAGTCTTCCGTAGTCTTCCTTGATATGACCTATCTACCTCTCTGTTGTTTTTGCCCCAAAACAATTTTCTCTTTTTTGAAGCTTGGAGAAATCCTTGGCTTTAGGCCTATTTCTCCTATTCAAATGTCTGTTTTGGATTACTTTGCCTTAATTTATGGCCTACATACCCATTGTATAATGTTTCTAGCATTCTTCATAAGATTAGGTCCAAGGAACAGAATGAACAAATTTTTCTTTAGCAATTAAGCCAGAGCAGGTATGGAGGGGCTTCTCTCAGCTGAGCAAGATATTTCAGTTAATTCTTTAGGCCTTGCTCTCATTTCAGGACTTAAGGGAAGAAAAGGATATCTGGAAAATCCTGATCCATTTTTCTCGTCTAATAGTAGTGGTGGTATGGGGCCTGGGGGAAGAGAGATAGAGCACCAACCTGTCACTCACTGGAAACAGGCCAATGGCTTTCATGCATACCTTACTCTGGTCATGGGAAAGGCAGGACACTTTGCATTCAATTACTTACATGCTTAAAGCAAACAAATTGGCAGGTTACTGCATATCAAAAATCTTAACTTACACAATTTCAGATGCAACTTTTACTGAACTGTGTGCACTGCATTTAGGTTGTACTGTAATTATCATCAGGGTTGTTTGGGCTATGATAATTTTTTGGCATTGCTGCTGTATATATTTGGTTAGAAGCCAAAACCTTACAAATGCATAGTGTATAGGTGAGGGGATGAAGTCTGTAGATGCCTAGCAGACTTTAACTGCTTACTCAATTTAAAATGCAATTTAAAAAATGTTCAAGTGAGTTTTTTACATTTAAAAGAGGAGACACTTTGATCTCTTTGAGCAGTAGTTGCTCCTCAAGTCTTAAAATATTAAATAAATATTATTTTTCCAGTTGTTATGCCAACACAGTATGCTTTGCTCTGACATGTTATAACATAAAGTTATATAATTTGAAAATTAAAGAATTAATATCCTGAACAAGCTTGTCAAAATGAAGTGGTTCTAAATTTGTACCAAAATTAGAGGTCAAATTTCTTTACAAAACAGATTCCAAATCCTTAGCTACATTTAAGATACAGAGCTATACAAAGGCTGAAAGGCAGAAATCTCTGAATTTTGACATTTATGGGCTACTGCCACACCTTTAAGCTTGCATGTGCTTGTATGAACATTTCATTTTAAAGGAAGAATTAAATTAATTTCAGGGACAGTCTAATTCCTCTTATCCACGCAAAATGAAACTGAATTTATGCCATCTGCTGAAGTAACATTGGTTATTAAAGGAGGGTGTCCATTCTTACGTTTTAAAGCCATTTTTGTTTAGATTCTTCACCGTTAAAGCTAAAGAATAAGCTTGCATGCAAGCCCCATTGGAATCTATGTGAGAGGACAAAGCTGGCATTTTTATGCATTCTGCATTTAGTGCATGATTTTTATTTTTTTTTTTTTGGAACTAAAATGTTTACCTTTAAGAGGAGAGAAAGCTCCCATGCTTTCTTTCTTGGGAACTAACCTTCTTTTCACAGTTTTTAAAATTTCCCTTTCATTATGAGTCAGAGAAAAACAGTTCAAATGATTTTTTTAATTGTTTTTGTTCCTTTCTAATGTATCTTCCTTCTGATTTCAGCCTGGGGAAGAGCTGCTGCTGCCACATACCTGGTTGGCTTTCTACTTCTAGTCATCTGTTTTGCTCTGGCCATCATAGCGTTTGCCATTGACACACTTCGGTTCAACTTCATACGTGGGATTGGAGGCTTACTTTTTGTGGCTGGTAAGGAGTTAGGCTTAACTTGTGCGGATATATCCATACTAGAACTGATTACTTCCCTCAGCTGATTCTATACCCAAGTCTCTACCTTGTGTGCACTTGAGCTCTCTGTGAAAACTAAAGTCTGTCACAGCAGTGGATCAATTTTTAGATTCCCCAATATGTGGGTGAATTTAGCACCAGGTTTTATGTAATGGGCTGGGTGTTAAACATCTTTTGTTTTCTCCTGTTTCTTCAGCTGTGTTCTCCATCATGGGCCTGGTCATTTATCCAGTAAAGTTCTCATCTGAAATTGAAATGACAGGAATCAATATGTTCAGCTGGGCCTATGGCTTCGGCTGGACCACCGCTATTATGGAAATATGCTTGGGATTCTTCTTCTGCTGCCTTCCTAACTATGAAGATCAGATCTTGGGTAATGTCAAGCCCACGTATTTTTACTCTTCCCCATAAGAACCTGAAAACCTGTTTTCATATTCCAGAGATATATGACAGACTAGCTATGTTTTTCAGAATATTGTCATCAGATGTTAGTAGAAAAGGCTGGAAACTTTTCAAATGTAGAAAAATGGCACTGGCAACTGCAATAAAGTTATTTACTCTATTTTGGACCTTTATATCTGATGTGGGTTGGTTAGATAAAGTGTAAATGTTAAAAGATGTAGGTTTTCCTCATTCATTCCCATAAGTGAGGTGTATGTGGATTCCATTGCATCTTAAATACGTTCATATTTTCAATTAAATTCAGAAAAGCTTTCTAAACTTGCAATCAACAAAACAATGTTTCACCTTCCTGAAAGAAAGCAATTCACAAAAAATCCCATTTTGTATATATCATCTTTAGCCTAAGGATTTTGCACATTTTTCAAAAAGTAAAATACCTTAATCCACTGATTAAGTGGTAAATTAGTCAGCCAGTACTTCGTAACTTTGCTTCCATTTTTCTTTCAGTCACTTAAGCTATAAGGACAGGGTAAAAGAGGATTAAAGTTACCTACTAAAGCCAGCATCTTCATTTTTACCCATCCATATGGAATGTATTTATGTCTAAATATTTGCAAGAGTAAGCAAGGACCATCAGTAATCCCTTAAAAATCCTGGCATGCCATTGCTGGTGCCACTACAGAGTGGGCAGAGGCAGAGCGGATTTCAAGCTACCCCTGCAAACTACACACCTGGTTTGATAAAGCTCCTGGTGTGGTTTTCTTCTTGGGCGTCTGAAATATATACTGATATGAAATGATACTTTTTTCTGCTATATCGAAGCCTACAGCTTTAAAATGCTTTGTAATATGGCTCAGCTTTTTTATCCAGTGTAGAAAGGTTGGGTATGATTCCCCTACACCTGAGGAGTTGAGCTGGAGCAGTGTGAGTGTAAGTATCAAACAGTGGATAAAAGGTCCTTTTTTCATTCATTTGTTGTTCTTAAGTATTTTAAAAGTGGAAAGTGCATACTGTCCTATGTAACTGTAAAATGCATAAATACATCTTGCCATCTCATACTAAAGCTCTCATGGAGAAAATCACATCATAAAACACCTTTCAGCATCTTATACTCCACAGTGTCTCAAGCCTAGACATATTGCAAGCAATGAAGTATACTCAAGACTCTGCTGGTTTCTGCCTTGTTAAACGTAACTTTATAATGTTCCATTTATTTTCTTAAGTGAAAAAAAAAAAAGGATAATTTGTTATGTGGAAAAGAAGTTTAATCTCAACCCTTTGCTACGGAAGTTTATTAGCTTGTAACACATCTCCAATTTTTGTAACTACGTATGCTTTATGAAAAGTGCCCTGCCAAGTATTCTTTACCCCAAAAGATAAGAGGTAGAAAATTTTTTAGTAAAAACCTCTTGGTAGCTGAAATTAATAAAAGCACAGGGCTTCACCTGGGTTGTTTGGTGGTTTTGTCTTTTGTTTGTTTAAGCAATTAACTCCATTCACTTCTATGGAGTGTGTCTAATTTTGATCAATAAGCATGAGAGATGTATAAGACCAACGGGGAAAGTAAATGCAATAAGGAAGAGTTAGATGGGAACATGTAAATACCTTAAGAAGACATTTCTTAGATGGAAGGAAATCAAAATGGAATAGAGTTGAGAACACAGTTTGTATAAAATGACTTGCAATTCTTCGTGTAATATTATCCATTCAGGAAAAAAATCATAAATATTTTCATTATGCTTATTACACCTAATAAATGATGGTATCTATGTATTGTTTCAAAAATAAGTCTTAATTTTTGTTCTCTGCTGAGACTGGGAAAGTGTGGAATCCTCCAAAGCCTCCTCTTCTCAGGTACCACGTGTGAGTGCCTGGGTATGCTGGCTGGATTTTGAGAGGAGAGAGTAACTTACACACCTAGCATCACAACAGCTTGTGTTATTCTTCAGTCCTATTCTGGCTGTCTCCTGAGGCCTTTTTTTCAAGCACATGAGGATAGCGGACATGCTCTGTTTGCTTACACGCTACGTGGTGTCAGGTAACTCTATGCATGATTCTGTGCTATAATGTGCGACAGCTCATTTTGGCATAGGTGGTAACACAATTGGTGTTCACCACATAGGAAGCCAGAACAGTCCTGCTCCATGAACTTGCTCCAACAGATGTCTGAGGAAGCAAAAGGGAACTTAGGCAACCACCCTTTCTATTTGCAGTTTCTTGAACATTAGCTGGGCACTGACAAAACATCTGGAGGTGGGGAAAGGTACAAAAAGTAAGGTTTAGGAGTGTGACTCCAACCTTGATGAGAGAGCAGAGCACAACTAAAAAGCAAACAAAATCTCCAGCAATCATCCTCCTTGCTTCCTCCTTGCCCTTGCTGCTCTCAGCAGCTTTACCACTTCCTCTCTCTCCATCTCTTCTTTTTGCTCCTCCTTCTCCCTAAGGGTGTCTGAGCAATGTCAGGGCTGGAGGCAGTGTCTCTGTGGGACACAGACCCAGTCCTCATTCCTCACTGCCACTTTCCCCGTCCTAGGAGAGAGGAGGAGTGAAGCAACTTTGCTGACTCCAGCACAGGAACAGGGATTCTAGCCTGGCTCCCTGCCCCAGGCCCTTCCTGGGAAAGGCCTTCCCTTAAAAAAACAAGGCAGGCAGGTGGGTATCCAACAAGCAGAAGCATCACAGGCACTAGGGCTCAAGTGCCTGCCTTTAGGGTAGTTTGCTTCCAGTCATGCAAAACCAGTTCACCACAGATTCCTAAAAAACACATACTAAACCCTGCATCAGGCAAAAAATGAGAAGAAGTATGGAACAGTTTTACAGCTGCCAATGCTGTTCTCTGTGACTGCTGCAACAGGGGCACATGGCAAAAACAGCATGCAAAATACAATCTGTGCTCACAGGAAAGGAAGCTGAATCCAGGAGCCAAGGATGTGCCTCAAGTTATTATATTATTAACTAGCTATGCTAGCAACTGCTAGGTTAACAACCAAACTGTTAAAATAGTCTACAATTCAGGGTCAAGTACAATATCGACTAACAAAATTGTTATATTAATTTGAGCTAAGTCACAATCAGAAAGCTTGGATTTTCAAGCAAATGAGAAATTAGAGGAAGAGAAGGCATCCACTTAGTTCTGTGTCTCTATTTGACTGTGTTCTTGCTCCAAGCCTTACCTATGGGAGAATAGGGCACTTAAACACTAAAAGCAGCACAATAAAGGACTTGAAGTTTCATTGTGCCCAACAGCAATGCTAAAGAAAGAGCAGGGAAGAACAGATGTCTGAAGCTTTTGGGGACATTAGGTTTGCTACAACAACAGAAATAAAGACTGCCAAAGGCATTGCTATTGTTCCTGTCAAATCAAGAATTAGGGAAACATCCTCCAATAAACAAATAAACATGTTATATCTAATTCAACTATACTACTGAAAAACAAAGGAAAAATTGTGCTGAAAACAAGTGGAGTGTCAAGCAGCTCTACAGATACAAGCTGAAACAGAAGAAATAATGAAAAATTCCTACAGGCAGGTTAATATGTTCAATTTAATTTCTGGCATTTCGGTCAGAGTTTGTATAACATTTGTGCATCTTGGTCTTTTCTTCAATTTTGTCTGCAAACATGTCCATATTTCACTTTACATTTCTCAGGCACCTGCATTTGGTCTTAAAATACAGCCTGCTTAATCAATAATTCAAATGCAATCTAGTTTGCAACTGTATTTAAATTGTGCATATTTTGTCGTACAAAGTAATGACAAGAGTGAAGGTTTGACCTCATTTACATCATTTGCAAAGTGTTTATTGATTTTCTTGAGGCTGACATTTCGTCCTTGAAGCACAAACCCTTTTTTTGTCATGTGTTCAGAATCAATAGTGTCTCTATGGGATGCCCCAGAAAGCAACTCTGTTTACTTCTGGAGTAGGACTCGGGTATATATAAGGTAAGAAACAAGCATTACAGCAGACAGCTTTATTTCCGGAATAAAGGACAATTCAGTGTATGTAAGATTAGCAGAACCTGAGTCATAAGTATATCACACAACATGGTCACAGTAAAAAGATGCATCCTTTCTTTCAACACATCTCAGTTGTGCGACAGTTATTACTTCTTGTAATTCAATTTATTGGAACACTTCCTTGCACATTTCTACATCCAGTGGATTTCTGTGCGGTCCAAAGATGAGTAGATTTAAGAAAAGACTGAAATGATTAAGCTTGTGACAAAGGGCAAATAGGATTGGCCCGTTTTCACACTCTGTCAGAAAGCAGGACTCAAACCACCTTGCTAGAAGAACAGTGATCTGAACAGCCAAAGAGTTACTTCTGGGTCATATTGGAAATTCAAACCTGTGAATCAAAAGACTGCTATATAGAAAATAATAGGAAGAGACAGTCAGGTGGGTCTTTTATGTTTTTCCAAACTGTCAAAATACTGCTCATATGCTCATCTGCACACATTGGTTAGTTCCACAGATTTTCTGCATATGAACTGATGCAGCAAATTTTTTTCAATTTTGCTTTTCATTTTTCGTGATCAGAGTGAAAATGTGAATGCATCACAGAATTTTGCATGTGACTGCTAGGCATGGAGAAAATTTACAGGAAAAACTTTCAAAATAGTTTTACTATTTAATATTAATGTGATGAGAGCAGATCAAACTGTACTTTCTTGGATAGCTTTTATGATATATCCTCTTACTTCTGTCACTGTTTGCCCAAGCCATCTGTTCTTCTGTAGAAGCAGTTTTGTGAAAACCTACTCTAATGATTGTATCATAATGAAAAGAAATTGTTTTAGGTATCCATGGAGAATCCATCATAGGGCACTTTAAACAGCCCTTGACTGTTCAAATGCAGATCAAACATAGAGGCAGATGTTGCCTGTAGGATTTTTCCGCAGATAAGTGTAAATCCAGAAGAAGCAAATTCACTCAACTATTGACTGTAGACCTGCTGCCCAGCTCCCCATTTCATACAAAGTAACTGGTGCCCTAGAATCTTGCCCATAAAGCAACAAACAAATAAGTGAAAATGTAAACAATAAAAGAAGTGAAGGAAAAATATTACAGAAAGGCATATACGTATACACATACTTAATATCACCATTTAGTCTATAGTTGACCGCAGTGTGAGTGAGGATGGACTCAAGTTGTGTAAATCACAGCTAGGGCTACACTGTTATTTCCAGTTTTTCTTTCTTTTCTTCTCACTGCACTTCTTCTGTAGAGCATTACTGCTTTTTTTGGTGAACCGTTCTAGTTTTACCACACTCTGTCCTGACAAGCACATTCACGCTTTCCATGCTCATATTAATACAACTATGTTTTTATCCCTTAACTTTCCTCTTTGCTTCTTAAGTAAAATGGTTTGAAGTAGTATGTATATGTAATATATATATGAAGTAATAGTATCTTGAGGGCGTTAGGAAAATTAGAAGAATGGAAGATTTTTCTTAAGCTGTTTTAGAATTAACCCTCAAAAGAAGAAAGAAACAGGAACTGATGTTCAAGAGAAAAACCCAGTCCAGTGCAAAAATGGTGTCCCAAAATCTACTTGCAGTCCTAACAATAAAATGATTTGGGGTGATTAGCAGCCAAGTTACATTTGCATCCCCTCCTTCATGTGAGTTTGTACTCTCTTTTGTCTTGCTGTTTTTCATGAACATTAACAAATCTTCTGGGCACCGGTTTCTGAATCCTCCAGTACAGAGAAGGAGTAGCTGCTCATCACCTCCACCCCCTATAGTGCCCAGGGAAGGGAGTTTTAGGGAGGA